CCTACACGACGCTCTTCCGATCTCCCCAAAACCCCAAAACCCCAAAACCCCAAAATAGCAAATAAACATTTAAGAGTGAAAAAAACATTTATTAATTGAACTTATTTAGAATGACATTGTGCTATAGGGTACGTGCTTGAATTCTTAAAATAATTCATTCATAAAAATCACACTCATCATTTGAAGATCAAAGCTCTGATGATGAAGTAAACGCCTACACCAGCACCTCCAGTACCCCCCGCAAATAGCATACATTTCGGTGAAAAAGCCCAGAAATTCCTTTTATTTGCTTCTTTTTCAAGATCAGCAGCCCCCTTCTAAAACTTTCTAGCCTGTAGATTGATCTCAGCTGCATCAACTAGCAACCCATCTCTGACCATCCCAACATTGTTACTCATTTCTATTAAATTATTTTTCATTTCATCTTTTGCTTAATTCAATTTTGAATGGGCGATTCGGATCTTATCTACTTTTATCGAACTCTAATACTGTGTAAGTCTTTACTCTAGCTATGGCTGTAGTTATCGTTGATAAAATCCATCATTTAGTTCTATATCTTAGAGCGTTTCTAGTTTATTCCGACATATTTTGCACAAATCCTTCTTTAAATCCATATAAAAATTCTCTAGCTTAGAAACTGATAACTCGTTACTTCCTACAAATACAAAGAATACCGAAGTGTGCTGGAAGATAAAGTATTAATGTGAAAAATTAAGCTTTTTAGTCGTTCCTTCATCATCCTTCAAGTCATCCATCATAGCTTTGACCATTGTCTTTATTTAGCTTTCTTAGAAGCTGACTGAGGGCTTTGTAATTGTCAATGTATCACATAGTTTTAGAATCTTATTGGTATCATTATTGAGGAAATATATACCAGCATAATCTACTGCTGTCATTATTAAAATATTCAATTTCTTATTAATATTTTAGATTATTTCTTATTTAATTTTATATGAATATAGCTTAATGGGGTTTTGGGGTTTTGGGGTTTTGGGGAGATCGGAAGAGCACACGTC